TTCACTATTTAAAATTTTAGATACTATCTTAAAGCAGTAAATGAACTTACAGTTATTCTCCGTGCTTGTAATCTTTCCACTCCCAAAATGCACCCTCCTTGCCAGGTTAAAGACTAACCTTGCCAGGGCTCCAAAATCTTTTAGCTTCTTCCTGCCACAGAAGTTTTTGTATCTTTCTGTTTTGTCAAAAAGCGGAGGTATTTGACTTCTCTTTGGGCAGCGACAGGGGATGGGCAGGCAAGGAGAGGGGAGGGAGGCTGGAAAGGAAGATTACAAAGCAGTGAAATTACCTCCATCTCCCCACTCCCAAGTTGGAGCTTATTTGAAATCAGTACTTTCTCTTACCATTTTGTGCAAGGCAGTTGGCAACTTTTATATCCCAGAGAACATTTCCTGATTGTTGGAGGGAACAGATAACAGAGCATCTGTAATAGCTGACTTCCTGGAATTGGTGGAGCAGGGAAGCAGGTCACTAGCAGGCAGTTCAAACCACATCGGATTTGTTTTTGTGATATAAGAGGTATGCATTGTAGAGTTGTTTAGTACTTCACTTTTCTCTCTCAATTTTAGAATATTTTTATATTTTAATTTTGATGGATTTTTGAAGTTTAGAAACAGACCCTCCTTTAGTTATGTATGCTTTTCTGAATGTGTTTCTGGATGAAGAAGAAAATGTGTCCCCAAATATAACAAGGTATTTAAAGGTATTAGCATTTAAAAAATTGTCACACTCTGAGAGCTACTTTGTTATTGATTGCTTGATTAAAATGGAAATAATGCTTAGCTAATAATGTTATACTTAAACCTTACTAAGCTTCAAGTTTGCTCCAAGGACTTTCCTTATCTTATAGCAACATATTCATGATAGTTTTTATATAAGCACAGAGAAGACACCTTTTGGCCCAGATACATGGCCAATGAGACATAGTGGCAGATTTTCTGCTTAATCAAAACAAAATAATCTTCTCATGCTGTGTTAGGATCTGGCTTGTGGCATGAATGATAAAGTGGTATTGCTAAATGTCACAATATTGATTACAACTATTACCTTTAAGAAAGGGTCATATAAGATGTCTAGGGCTCTGAACTCAGTGGTGTGAATGGTTCTTGATGAGATTAGTTATAAAGATGTCAAGACAGCAAGAGCTATGTGATTACGTAGTATGCTTACGGGGCACTGTTCAACAAATGAAGTAGTCTGATAGTAACCATTGCAGAGGCCTAGCAGTTACTTTTTTGGGTAGAATCCAGTTTGGAAGAAAGGATGTGATTCTTAATCTCTTTCACGTTCTGGATGTAAAGAGAGGATTGGGATTTGGCTTTGAGGAAAATTCAATAAGCTTGGAAGACAAATGTTTTTCATGCATGTGTAGTGTTGCAGGAAAAGAAACTATTTTGTGAATATGAGGAGAGTTAGAGCTTTCTGACGTGCAGAAAACTGTTGTCTTGTGTTTATGATGATGTGTTTATGATTGAGTTAATCTCAATTTAAAACATTGAAGTTGTCAGAATTTAATTAAATTAAATATTTTTAAAGAAGTGTGGGAAGGAAAAATGGCAATGATTACATCTAAAGAATTAGGAGTATTTCCTGAGAGTTCTGTGGTACTTTTAGACAGGCTCAATCTCACTGGCACTCAGTCTGTAAGGCACATAGCTTGGACTTTATACCAGCCTTGGCAAATTTCAATCATACAGATTGTACTTTCTGCAGCACAAACTGCCTTCAGAATTGATTAAGAACAGCCAAATAACTGAAGAGCAATTTTAAAATAGAGTTTTAATGAAGTATGAAGTCTGACAGTAGACAAGAGTTTCTTTCATACAGCACTCCTGTTCAATCCCCTGCAAAACGAGGCACTGCTAACAGTGCTGCAGACATGTGCCCAGGCTCTTGTGTGGCTGTAGAGCAGCGGTTCCAGCAGGATGCCTTGGTGGAGCCCTACGGTGTCAGACCAATGGCGTGGGATGAGTTAGTGCAGAGGAGGACACAGCAGAGGGTAGTGCTGAAAATGGGTGTAGATCTGCTCTTGATTCTCGTGTAGATGCAGCCCTGAGAGTCTCGTCTGGTTTTGCTAATTAAGCTAAGTAACTTTGGAATATGTTGTTATGAGTCTTCCTCTTGATAACTACTAACAAACAGATAATCCCAGTGGTGTTGCAGATAGTAAAATGATTTTTGTAGTTTCAGTGTGGTATTTTTACTGTCAGTTGGTGAAGCAGCTTAAGAAACTGCGTAAGCAATTGGCATGCACTGGAATCTTCAGTTTTACTCTCTGAATTTTAAAAGCATTAGATGTTTCTTCCAATTTAATGTCTGCATAATGGATATGGATGGCAGGATACGCTGCTGCCAGGCAGCTCTCAGCAGCCTTTAACAGGCTAGCATAGACTTCTGGAGCAACGGCGTTTTTCCACTCACATTATCCATCTTGTGCCAAATATGCTGAGCCTCAGTTTTTGCACAAGGTACTAATAAAAGTTGTACTTTGGTCCTGTTTTTCCCCAGCTCTGCGCACTGTGGTTCAGGCCTGGAGGTGGAATAGGCAGCATGTGAATGCGATGTGACTCACCTCACTCCTGCCCCCCTGCTCCCATCCTCTCTGGCTCTCACTCTGACGTAGCAGTGTGGCAGAGGAGTCCTCCAGCCTGCCTCTCCCTCTCCTCTCTCTCTTTTTTATTTTTTTTAAAATCCTTTCACCAGTGTTCCTCTCATTGTAAAGAATATGATGGAAACGAATTCTTGTGCCATTGCTGCCGATTTCCTCCAGTTAGGGAATCAGTAGAAGAGCACCATTATCACTGAATTTCATACAGGCAGCTGGGGAAGACAAAAACTCCCTTCCTGTTCATGCCGGGTACAGTAATTCTTTAGCCTCCCTGTGCAGGGTATATGCAGCCCATTTTTTGGCAGGTATTCCGTAGGCATGTTGCATTATTTCCTCTCCTGCTTTGCTCTGTTCTCTCCTCCCCCTCAAGTTACTCTCTGGAAATGTTTTTTCAGCTCTTGTATCTGCTTGCTGACACGGCACTTTCGTTTGCATGTTAACTTGATTGATCTTTTCAGAAAGCAATTTTAAATGATTGTTCAGTTATTACATATGCGAATGAGCTGATAGACACAGGCCATTTAAAACTATGTAAAATACCGGAATTAGAAAAATGCTTTCTACAGTCCTGTTTTCTCGTTGTTGTAGAGGGAACAAACAATTTGCAGCTTTTAGGCTTTGACAGTTTTTAGCACTTTTCTGGATGCAGTGTAAAAAAAAAAAGTTGCTTCGTGCTGCTGTCCATTGCCAACTCCCTGAATTTTCAGTGAGGTTGAGCCTGTGTTTGTCTTGTCATCAGAGCTGAAGGTGCATCCTCAGCCAGGGCTGTGGGTTTTGTAGACGCCAGGCAGTCCTCCTCCTGTACACCTCTAAGTCACTGAATTCAGTCTTTTGCGAAAAGGTCAGTCATGTGAGCTCACACATTTCAACCGTAGGAAATGAGTCGGGTTTTTGTTGCTTGTGTTTTATTTGGCTTTTTAAAGTTCCAGTTCTCCAATCTGAGAATTTGGGACCCTGCGCCTTTTGTTGTCATCTGGGCTAGAGGTACACGTTCAGTGCGTGAGGCACCATGCAGTTGTAAGTCATCACAAGCAAGATACTCAGAATCGAAAGTCTACAGTATGTCCACAAGAGCTATGTGGAGAACAGATATTTCGTTAGCTCAGAATTTCGTAATCCTGTGTGAAAGAAATTTGAGGGAAAAAATTGTTTCAGTTGGTTGTGAATAGCTGGATTTTTTTTTCTCCATTTCTCTGTTTTGTACTGTATCTTAATACTAATACTTCAAAACAAAAATCAAAGCATTTGATATTGTCAGGATGGATTTTTTTCTTTTCTGTGTAAGTGGAACTGCTTGGGGCAGCCCACTGTCAGCACCTGGCTGTGGTGGAGGTTTCCTGACCATTTGTTTCCACTAGAGCTTTCTCTGTTGAGCCCTACCATGTCTGCTCATTTCATTGTCCTCTTCTGAAACCAACCTTGTCGTGTAACTGTTTCGGAGTATACATATGCTCTTGATCAAGGGGGCTTAAGCATATATCTAAATCTTTTTAAAGCTGTCCTAATTTGGGCATGGTTGGGGTAGGAAAAAATGTCCCTTTTTTGTCATGCCCACAAAAAGTAAGAAATATATTGTGGTGTTTTCACCCATGTCCACACTGAAGTATAATATGAACATAAATTGTGAGCCCTTATTACCCATGTGGCCACATGGTATCTTACCCTGCAGGTCACCTGGTCTGCTCTTAAATCTGTTGAGTTACCATCTAAAGATACACAATGGCTACCAGGAGAAGAAACTTCTTTTTAAAATAATTTCTGACTTTCATGGAAGCCGTAATGTAGTATGAAGCCTTTAAGCTGGGAGAAATAAATCTGTGCGATTTCCTTCCCATGTAGGTAGCCCTGTCTGATTTTCTTTCAGGTGACAATAATATTGAACAGAATGACTACACATCCATGTCCTTATTCCCTGCTTTGCACTCAAACTGGCTGTCTCTCCATAGTTTTGATGTGTGGTGCAAAATGGCATCCCATTGCCTTGAAATCAGCCCTGAGGCTTCAACCTGAAGTCCTTTTTCATCTCTGTTTAGGAGTGGTGCATGTTTGAAGGAGTCAGAAGCTTTGCAATCTGAATGCTAACGTGTCTGAAGTGAATATAGGTTAATGAGGTCTTGCAGTGGTTTGCAATAGGTTGAATTTTGGTGGGTGGGTTTCTGCAAGGACAGCAAGGTCACACTGCTGGGCAGCAATACTTCTTTCTAGCCTATTTTGACACTGTGCCTGTTAGATAACACCAATATTTAAAATTCCAAAAAGAGAAATTCCACTAAGCTTCTGAGCAGTTCTCTATTTACATTAAATAAATGTAACTTTAGGTGTTACTGTCTTCTCTAATATGTGCAGCTACGTAACTGTCATCATTTCTGTTTGGTTTTGTTTATCTGGTAGAAAAGAGTGGTGGAACAGCTTCGAAAGAATTTGATAGTGAAGCAGGAACAGCCAGACAGTAAGTTTCAAATACAGCCCTTGGCACAGTCAGAAAACAAACTACAGACGCCACAGCCGCAACCACTACAACAGCTACAGCAACATCACCATCAACAGCAGCAGCAGTCTACTGCACCCTCTCCAAACGTGATTGGATCACAGGTAAAAATCTCTACAATAGTTCTTTTCTTTACCAACGGTGAAGTTCTCTAAAAAAAAAATTAAAAAAAAAAATAAAAAAAAAAAAGGCAAAGTGCAGAGAAAAAATTGCAAACTTTCTTACTTATGCCCATTAGTGTACCAGTATGAATTTCTCCTTCCATGCATATGCAGATGTGAGTTATGTGGGTATTTTTGACAATAACTTCCTGAGTCAAAAAAATTATGTAGTGTTTAAAAGTCTAATCATAACCTCACAGAAAAGAAGGGTGGCAGTATCACCTTTCTTAAAAATAAATGAGTTTAGGAAATGAACCTGTCTTTTCCATAGGTGCATGAATGATTGTCTGTCCATGCCCAGTAGGTCTCAAGAAACACTGAAGACTTTACACACACTGTACAAGGTGTATGATTAAAATACGTTCTTTTTAAAAGACTTAACAGAGTGCCCACTGTATCTGTGAACAAAATGTAAGAAAACAGTTCCCTCTTCTTTTTGCTTCGTTCTTCTTAAACAGATGTAACTCATATCAAATAATACTTACCTGAGTTTGCAAGGATTTGTCTGAAAGTGTACAATGTTAATTGCAAAGTTTGAGTTTTAGGAAGTAATGCCTTTATTGGGAAGGTACATTGAATTTCAGTACAGTATGGGATTACAGACATACTCCCAGAACTCACCAGAAAAAGTGGTCTACATCTACTGAGAGGAGAATTCTGAGTTCCTTGTGTTCAAATATTTAGAATCCCCAAAGTATGCTAATAAAACAGCTAGAAAGGGCAGGGAGGTGTTTTATAAAAAGAAGTGTATGTGAAGTCTTTTTTCCTGTTGATGCAATCTCAGCAGCTCATGTTTACTTGGATAGGCAGATGGCAGAATTCACCCATGAAGTTTACTGTATGCATATTGCAGTCAATCACAACCATAGCTTGACCAATTGTGACTCTTGTCTTCCCTGTTCCTGGAAGTAGAGGAGGGAGAAGTGGTTTGGCTTAGTTCTCTCATTAACTCGGCAAGCTGTTTTGGATGTACTCTAAAAATGTATTTGTGAGGCTTAAGTAATTGTACTTTTGAGAAATGAATATTGAAGAAATGAATCAAACTTAACCAAGGAAAAGACATTTCTGAGCAGCAGCAGCAGCAATATCAAAGCCAAAACAGAACAAAGAAATAAATATTACTGTGTCCTAAAATATTTATAGGCAAACAATGGATCACTCTTTGCTGTACGCTGATCTCTGGTTTTCAGTCAGGAAACATGACTGCAAGACCGGTTTCATGTGTTTCTCCATATTCCACACTTTGCATTCATGCGTTAACTTCCGGATCATCTCCTGGGTTGTAAAAATTGTGGTTTTGTTCAAAGTTAAAGAGCCCTCTAGTGAAACAGTCAAAAAACTGCTACACCCGACTGACTTATCGTTGATACAGTAGTGCTTGGAAAGTAGTTACAAACTGAAAGGCAGGTCATTCTCTCATTTGGAAAAAAAAAAAAAAAGCCAGCTTTTATCCTGTTTTTATTTGTGTTGGTGTAATTCTGAGGTAACCTCACTTGCTTCTGTACGGATTTTGCATCTAAGGTTGGGCCTCTGTCCTGTTTCCCCTTCAGTCTCTTTCAGCAAAGAAAAGTAGAATATTTTATCTCTCTAGAAAGTGTTTTGTAAATAATACATCTTTCAAGGCTGTGTCAATAAAGAGAATGCTTTCAATGGTTATTTTCGGCGTAATTCAATATAGGAGTCAAGGTATATATGCTGCCTTAATAGTGACATTTTAATATACTTCATATAGTCCACTAAAAAGGGCTTTTTAAATTTTTTAAAGCACCAAGCCTGCTAAAAGATCATATTTTTGCAATGCTATTATGTGAAATAATGCAGACTTACTATGAATGCCACTTCAGTATGAATTCATGCATTGAAAACTTTTTACAATAACCAAGGTAATTAATGCTCAGCAAAGTAGCAGGGATATTCAAGCTCTGTGATCTGCTGACTGAAACCATACTCTTAGTACTCACAGAGTTACTAGAACCCCTTGAAAGAGTCACAGTCTTGTCTTACATGATTGATTACACTTTTCTTTAAAATGTTTATGGATGAATGTAATGCTCGTGAAAATGATACCATGTTAAATTGCATTGGAAAAGCTTGAATAATGTTACTGCATTAAGGGAATGTAGCCTCTTGCTTTGGAGAAGGTCAATAAGCTTTTGAGTCTCAGATAGAAAGTTAAGGGAATTGTTCCTGTTGCAACAAAGAAAAGTTAATTATGTCTGGATTTTATATGTGTATAAAATTGAAGCACAAATTATCCTTTGATTTGGCATTATACAGTGTTTGAATTTCTTGCTTTTGCATAATTAACAGAGGATATAGTTTAAGTGTTATGAAATTAGAAGTGTGAAGGTAAACTGCATTTTTGTTTAAGGGAATTATACTGGTGAAAATACTGAAGAATCCAACTGGAAATACATTTATATTATTTTATTAGAAAGAAGAGGAAGGTCTTGTGTGATTAAAATCAATCTGTCTAAATCCGGCATGTTCAGACATGAAAAAGACTGCCTGATCCCTGGTTCTCCATTTTTTCCTGCTGTGGAGCCTAGTGCTGACATCAGCAGGGAACGGTGGTTATTTCATACTAAGAGCATTTGATCATGCCAATAACTGTTCTGAAGTTGCAGTGCCATTGGTACAATGGATTTTTTATGCCAAAGAGAAAAGAAATAAGCTCAGTTGCCATTCTGTTAAGTGTCACTTATCATGAGTTTTCTGTGCATATTGTGTTCCAGTTTTATACAGAGACTGTCTTACCTTGCTGCTTTTTGAGTGAGATTCGTAATTGTCTGTTTCCTTTAAGATCTTAGAAGACAGTACATTTTAAAACAAAACTGTGAAATTATAGTTGTTCTAACTTCGGAATTTGTAGACATAGTGTATTCAGGCATTTCAGATAAATGCTGGCATTAAGTGATTCAAAACCACTCTCTTTAAAATAGGCCAAGAGCAATCATGGCATCACATACATGTTCCAAAACCAGCCTGTTCCACAGAAGTAAACTTAATTGTCTGCAGCTGGACAGACTAACAGCCAGCTCCTACAACTTCAGGATAGCCCTACAAATATTCTTAGGAAAGAAAATTAAGGGCTAAATAACTATATGTATGGCTAAAACTGAAATTTGGGATACTCAAAATCAAACCACGTTTTTGTTCTTAAGGAAAGCAATTTATGAACGTTTTTTCCTCTCTTTCTTTACAGAGGATCTCTGTAAAAAAGGTTTCCATTTGAAAATTTGAGTTTTAATTGGTGAGAAGCCAGTTTTCTGGTATGTTTCATAAACCTCCACCTTATAGGTTTGATATTGACAGTACATGAGAAAGATCCAAAAATGCATTTGCCACTACTAACACTTGTCATTTTCTCGGGAATTTGTTTTGAATCAGTCTGTAATGCTGCAGATTATTCCAGTAGACCCAACAGGTGCCTCAAATGAGAATCTCTTCTAGCTTATCCAGTTTTCAGGGGCATAGATAATGTGCTTGTCTGAACAGTAGGTAGAGAGTGCTGCCTTTCCTTCCTCTTGCTGTCTGTTGTTTCTGACTAACCAACCCACGTGCTGTCTGATACGAAGTGTCTCTGTCTCTTACAGTGTATTTTCTGTTTCCCTTAGAAAACTGTAACTACAGCTTCTATGATCACCACTAAGACACTACCTCTCGTCTTGAAAGCAGCAACTGCGACCATGCCTGCCTCTGTTGTGGGTCAGAGACCTACTATTGCCATGGTTACTGCTATCAACAACAATCAGAAAGCAGTCCTCAGCACTGATGCGCAAAATGCACCAGTCAACCTTCAGACAACGAATAAGGTCACTGGGCCAGGAGCTGAGGCAGTCCAAATAGTGGCAAAAAACACAGTTACTTTGGTAAGTGTTTCATGTGTTTGCCCTGCAGATATGTGTGGATTTGGTTTACAAGAGGGCTATTGGAAAAAAAAAGTAATGTTTTTGCACAGAAGGGAGAATAGTGGCGACATGTCATGAGTCTTTGCTAGTTGACATCGTTAAAATGATAGTCTAAAAGTAAAGCATTTACTGTCTACATGGGTTGTTACTCTCTTTTGCTTTATAGAATTAAATCAGTGCTATCATCACCTCTGTGTAAAGTTTCCCCTGTTAGTAATTGTTAGTCACAGGGAAGTAACGATTATTTCGCCCCTGCCTAATCTATGCAGCTGTGTTCTGCAGAATTCCTACTCTACTTTGCTAAAGGAGATGTCAGACTTTCTTCGTTTGATCAGTTTGGGTTTTCATCTTAGGTTTGGGTTTTTTTGAGTCAATCTCTTGTTCCCTTTGCATGATAAAGTCTGTGGTGTTAGACACATCACTTAACTCTGCCCACTACCATGTCTTCACTTACCACTTTTTCATACATGTATACAGATCCTGTTTCTTTAAGCATATATTTTGGAAAGTGCTTTGATTACATCACACAGTCTTTTACAGAATAGTTAGCCACCTAGAAATTACAGAAGCACTGTTTTAGAATTGAGTTATATAGGCTTCTTGGTCTGGAAACCAGGCCTTGTATAGCATCATGACAGGGAAATTTTACTTTTGGAGTAAAGGCTAAGGCTTCTTTAAATCCAATTTATCATTATTAAAAAATACAGTTTAATAATGCAAATGGAAGTAATTTTGCTTCCTAATGGGACACATGTTTGTTGTCAGAATAGAGAAGACTATTTGGGTGGAGTTTTTTCCTGCTGTTCTCTTTTCCCATGTCATCCCTTGCACCACTCTCATCTGTCCTTTGAGTCTGTGCTTCATTTGTTTGATGAATGACTGACTTAGGTTTTGGGGTGTGATTTTGTTTTATAATAGTCCATGATGTATGTTTCTGTAGCAATTTTCGTCAAAAATCTCAGAATATTTTCCCAAGCATTAACTAATCAGTACAAGACCTTTTTGAAGTAAATTGCAATCTTATGTGGGTGGACAGAAATACAGAAGGGTGGAAACTAACATGGACCTTGATTTCAGAGAATCTCACCGGGTTCTCAACTGAGGATAGCTAATAGTGCTTTTCAGAGGTTAATCATGTGGCAGCTCCATCCAACTGATTTTGGTTAGACAGGAAAGTGCTTAGGCTGCCTTAAAATCAGATCTTAATTGTTTCAAATGAATGGCCTGCTTTTGAAAATTTCAAGTTGTGTATTTAGAGCCCCTTATAGTGTCATTAATATTGTTGAAAGAGTTGTTAACTTCCAGATCTTTTCTGTTTGCGTGAGTTGCTCTTTCATTCTTCTGTTTGCCATTCAATATGAAAGGACAATATTTCATATAGCTGGACATCAAAGTCTGTTGTAAACCAAATTTTTAACTGTTAAAACAAATAGGAGTTTTCATTATCTTCAAATGAAACAGTTTTAGATTGCAGAGCCCAGTAGTTAGTATAGTCGAACTAAAAGGAAACGTACGTTCAATTTATGAAGCAAGGTGCGTAGGAACTGGAAAGTACGCTTAGCTCTGTCTTTAATACATTTCTAATAAGGAATCTGTTACTGTGAAAAATTACTTACAGAGTGGAAAACAGGGGCATAAGGTCTGAAAATGCATTCAGGATGTTGATTTTGGTGAACAGCTTCAAAGCTATTTTCCTGTTTCTGAAGTCTCTCATGTTCTTACAGCAGGTTCAGGCTACGCCTCAGCCCATAAAAGTGCCGCAGTTCATCCCTCCTCCCAGACTTACTCCTCGTCCAAATTTTCTTCCACAGGTGAGTATACACAGAACAAGCAATAGAAGAAGGAACTTAATTATAGCATAGCTAGGAGATACTTTCTATGAACATCATTTTTATCTGTCTTTATTGGTGACCTGGTGGAGGAGACAGTTCATCCTCAACAGGTTTGTGGCTGCCAAATTTGAAGGTGCAGTCAATACTCTTGAGGGCAGTGCTGACATTCAGAGGGTCATAGAGGGGACAGAGGAATGGGCCAGCAGGAAAAAAAAAAAAAAAGGCAAAGTCATGCACCTGGAATGGACTAACCCCCTGCATAGGTACAGTCTGGGGACTGGCTGGCTGAGGAGCAGCAGTGCTTAAAAGGTCTTGGTTGACAGTAGCTGAACTAGTGATGTGCCCTAGCAGCATATTGGGCTGTACCAACAGGACCACAGCTGGCAGATTAAGGGAAGGGATTATTCACTTTTTCTCACCGATCATAAAACTGGGTCTGATAGACAGCATGCTGTTTTAGACCCCCTGGTTGATAAATTTGCATGAATCCAGGGGAGGAAGGCTACTAAGATAGGTGGGGTGGAAGAATATATGACCTGCAAGTGGAGGCTGAGGTATCTGGGCTTGTTCAGTTTGGAGAAGAGGTTTTGGGGGCACTCTGACAGCAGCTTTATTTCTAATATCAGCAAGGAAATTAACAAGAAGATGGAGACATAGGTGCTCAGCAGGAGAATATTGGACAATGATGATAAATTGAAGCAGGGAAGATTTAGACTGCATATAAGGAAACAATTCTCTCTTTGAGGACAATTAGGAGTAGAAGAGGCTTCCTGGAGACATTGTGGCAGCTCTGTCCTTGGATTTTTACAAATTTTTACTTCTGGATGAAGCCTTAAGAAACCTAGCTGCATTTAGTGTTGACCCTTCTCTGAGCAGAAGGTCAAATTGGAGACCTCCTGAACTGCCTCCCAACCTACATGAGTCTGTGATTATGAAATTCACATACGATGATCTTATGTGATCCTATTTGTATCAAATGAAACGAACCCATGGAACAGGTGTCAGCAAAATCATAGCATCACCCAAGGCTTAAATTGCTCTAATTATTGTTTGCTGCTCGTGATGTCTCTAGATCGTTCAAAGTATTTCTGTATTGCAACAGAGAGTGACCTCTGTATGCAGCTGAGCAGTAAAACTTGTGTTTTACTTTTTTTTTCATGGTTTGCGAAAGACAGAATGCTTCTTCATTTAAAAAAACATCTTGGAGGAACTATTTAGTTTGTAAGAAATATGTGGTTCTGTGAATAAAAGTCTAAATTATTTACAAAAGAAAAAAGGAAAATATATGCTGATATCTGATTAAGATTTGGGGATGGTGAGATCTCTTGGAATGTGACCTAGTTTTCCATGATAAAATGCATTATGGAGTATTAAAGGTGGATAGGACAACAGGAATCAAATAAAAAAAAAAGAATTTTTAGAGTAACATATTCTACTTCTGTACTCTGTAATGATGTGATAAGTACAAATTTAACAAGAAATAAAGCAAGAAATAAGCAAGTGTTGGTGGTGGAGTATTGGAAGAATCTTGTGGCTCTTTTCTTTCTTGTGAAAGAAGAAAGAGTAATGACTGCATTTACCTGTAGCCTTTAGCACTTTCAATGCGGGATTAATGTATAATCTTGACAATTTTTTTGCTTAGCTACATTTGTTGTACAGGTGTCTAAATAATATATAAAGGTAACAGGGATTTGCTGAAAAATTTAATTATTTCTTGCAGGGCACAATCAACTGTTGATGATTTCTTGGACTCTCAGACACACTTTTAACATGAGAGCCTCAGCTGTGCTGTAAATATCACATGACTTTTTTGGCTTGCAAAACCAATATGTTGATTTAGATACATATAAGGCACTTGGCTATAAACATGCAATATAAGTGTCTGTGCATCCAAATACCGTTTCAGGGATAGTGACTGCATATGCAAATGTTATGGATGGGTTTTATGCAAGTAGGTTTGAAAATGTGGCTTTTCCTTCTCATAGCATACTTAGGACACTATGCTAAAAATTACATTCTATAAAAAAATCAAGCAACCTTCTGCAGATTACACAGGCTGAATTGAAAGATTTAGTAAAAAATTTCATCTGAAATACTGATATATGAATCTCTCTTTTAATTTTTTTTTGGTAGGTTCGACCTAAACCAGTTGCCCAAAATAACATTCCTATTGCCCCAGCACCTCCTCCAATGCTTGCAGCTCCTCAGCTTATTCAGAGGCCTGTGATGTTGACAACAAAGTTCACACCCACCTCTTTACCCAACTCTCAGAACTCCATACATCCAGTTCGTGTAGTTAATGGGCAGACAGCAACCATAGCCAAAACATTCCCTATGGCACAGCTCACCAGCATCGTGATAGCAGCACCGGGTACCAGGCTCGCTGGACCTCAGACTGTACAGATCAGCAAACCAAACATTGAAAAACAGGTACAGATAAGGAAGTGTCTACTAATTGAACGTACTGGGTTTATTCCTTTACTGTGCCGATTTGGAGAAATTTTCAGTGGGTACTGAAGATATTCATGTGCCAAGAACAGCACAGATTGTGGAATGACTTGCAGCTCTTGGGGTAGAAGTTACCATTTTCTTTAATATGGGCCATTGGAATCTTTTTCTCGTGCTTCAGTGTTTTTATGCTCCCCCTATTGTCTTAACTTCAGTAGTTTATAAGCAAGCTACATTGCAGGGCTATACTAGTATATTGGAGACCAAGTACAAACTGAAATCCTTCATACCAAGCCTGTAAGAAACACTGGAAAAATATTTTCTGTGTTTCTGTTTTTCATAGGGTGGCTACATGAAAGACAAAAATTATGCAAAGTTGTAGGGGTATTTAGTATGATAAATGTAGCCATTTCTTCCTTGATCTTGCAGTCTTGTGATTGGAGGCGAAATAGTCTCACTCAGCTTCTGAAGACTGATAGTTCCCTGTGACTAAATTGGATTGATTGAGTGGGAAGGAGATCCTCAGAAACAGAGAATTCTAGATGTTTGGTTTTAAAGTCTCTCTCCAGAGAAGACTTTTATAAAATTGGTCAGTCTGGATTGCAACTGAGAGTCATTGCCATTCAGTTCAAGTAAAAGGATCTTCTGTTTCACGTTCAACTCTTTTGTATATTATATGTTAGTAATAGTGTAATATTGTATACTATATAATACATTATAACGTAATATTTACATACTTTATATAAATAATAGTAGTATGTATTTAACTTACAACTTCTTTCATAGACTAATGTGCCTTGAAGTTACCTTCTGCTTTTGAAGTGACCTACGGAGACTGTGAAAATCATTTGCATGAAGGATATACTCATGCTCAGTTCTGTTTATGAATTCTCATTAATAGGTACTTGCATACCTCAGGGCCGTTCCACAAGTTACTCAGCAATGTGTGGCCTTTTCGTATGATTTGAAGTCGTACTTCTACAATACTATACTTTTGATGCCTATTCCTTTTGATACCAGCAATATTCATTTGCTCTTCAAATAATTACTGGCAGTTCAGCTGTTGAAAAACATACAGAAAAATGGTGGCGGTTTAATAATACATGAATTTTTCTGTATATTTTCTCCATATCATAAAGGGGAAAAGTTTGTGTCTCTGTAGCTTACCTCACTCAGTTTGTAGCCTCAACAGCTATGGCATGGGCTGAGGATTGTCATGCAGGGTTTGTGATACCATTGCAGAAGATTATGACCTCAGAAAAGAAAAAAGCCTCAGAAACAACTGAGATTGTAGAAGTCAGAGAGACAGTTTTTGAGCCATTCATAATTCTATGAAATATGAAGACTGAGGATTGAGAAGTACAAAATATATGGGTCATACAGAATGGTTTCTACCTGAAAGTCTTCTATGGGATGCTTTTTCTTGAACTGTCTGTTAGTTTGCTCATACCATATAGTGATTTCTGTAATGGAGTTAACACTTAAGATGACTTTTATTGTTTGTGTGGGTTAATGGAATGGTGGTAAGGTTGTTTCATCCTTTGTTAAAGGAAAACGGTTTATTTAACATTCCTGTCATATCAGATTCCTCAGTTAAAGTTTTGTTAGTACACTGCCAGTTTAAAACTGTTTTTTCTCCTGTATCTGCAAAAGTATTTGTTTTGCTTTATTAGTCCAAGTAAAAAAAGTCATTCTTATCCCTGAATGAGAGAAACGCTGTTTCTTTACAGACTATTAAACCACATGTGGAAGCAGAAGAGAAGCAAACAGAAAGTCGTACAGTTACTCCGCCTGCTGCACCGAAACCAAAACGAGAAGAAAACCCACAGGTATCAGAACATAGCCAGAACTTTCCCTTAGGAAAAAAGGCAACACTCTGTCCTTCAGAAACCATTTTTTCCCCCTGTTCCCTCAAGACTCCTTAGCTTTAACATTCCATACATTCCTGTTGGACAGCAGTAGTTGATGAGGCTACAGAATAATGCGTATTCTGTAAAGAAATATAATGTATTGTATCTTTCAGTCCTGGAATGCATTTGACTTCCGAGTCTTTTGTAAGTCAGGAGATCATAATTTCCCTCTGATAATTCCTTCAACCAGGAGGCTTAGATTACAGTGTTGATTTCCATTCCTTTGAGGTTTTAGACTTCTGGAGTTATTTTTAATGCTGGAGAAATGTCTTTATAAAATGTTTCTGCTCTAGTGAGCAGGATAGAGAGAGTCACGTATGTTCACATTCCGCCTGGGTTTTATTTCAGTTTAAGTCCAGCTGGTTCTGGGGGGAAACAGTGGCCAGAATGTGTATTTCTTAAAGCCTTTCTGCTGTGCAGAGCTTTGGCACTGATTACAGCTAAATGTTCTGCTACATTTGTTTTTGTAGATGCATTCAAACTGACTACTGTCTGAGCATTAACTGTTGTCAGTACAAATGCTGATTTTTACATGTTTGTGCACTTCCTTCGTTACAACTGGAATTCTTTAAGAAAGCCATAACCCTTATCGAACAGCAAATGTAAACCAGAGTTGCTCCTTGTACAAGTTCGCAATATTCAGAGAATGATCTTCAACTGTTTTGATGGCAATTACTAAGAGCCAGTCACATAGTCGGTTCAGTGCTGGACTGGAAGTAAAGAAACTGCTTTCTTGTTCCCAGCTCTGCCACCTCTGTGATCACAAGCAATTGGTATTTCCCTGTATCTCAGCCTATGTTCACATCTAGAAAATGGGACTTTGTTTATCCTCTGTAAAGCAGTTTGATGTACATGAATGAAAAGTGATTTATAGAAGCAAAGTATAACTAATAACGTTTTTGTTGCTTAGTTACCTGTCAACTGACTTTAAAGGGACTAAGTGACATAGCTCATCCTAATGGTTGGACTTGTCATGATCTTTTTTCTCCCCCCTCACAGAAACTTGCCTTCATGGTGTCTCTGGGACTAGTTACTCATGACCATCTGGAAGGTAGGAAAAATGCTTTAAATTGGTTCTTGACCTCCCTGTTTCATGGCCTTTCTGAACTGGAAGTATGGGTCCAAAGTATTTCTGTATTAAATGCAGTATTTTCTTCCACAAAAGTACATTTGGTATGTCTGTACTCTTGATCTAACTTAGTTTGTCATGCATACTTTTTTATTCCTCTTACTACGTTGAAACAAAGCAGTTGCTTATGCAGCAGAGATCAGTCGTTGGGAAGAAAAGTGTGCTCTGATGGTAGGAAAGAAATTTGTGACAATCCCATTGCTTTCTGGATGACCCCTGTATCTGCAAAGTTACACCGTGGGTAACAGTTTTACTGTAACCCACACCTGGATTTTTCATTTATTTAATGATTTCATGGGACTGTAATCTGTAGTGAATGAGTTAGTAGATTATAATTTGGTTTATAATTTAAACTCCCTAATCCTATACAGTGGAATACAGTCTAACATTTCAATGGCTTGCGTATTTCTGTACTGTATTTATTGTTGAGTATCGACAAGGTTACCAGAGGCTTTTCGGTTTAGATCCCAGTTACACTGACCATGAGTTTAAAATGTCTTGGTCATGGAGTACTTGGCAAGAAGATGGCAATCATTTCATTAGTTATTTGAGCACTGTATTTGTATTCCTTGCCAGCTCTTAGTTTTCAAATCTTCAGAAATTAGAAGTATAACAAAGTCGCCTATATTCAGCATGATTGGTGTTCTGTAGAAATCTTCACAGCTCTTATATGCAAACTCAATTCTGAAGACTTTATATAATTTGAGACCCATTGGTTTCTAACCTGAATGCTTTGTTTTACAAGAAATCCAAAGTAAGCGGCAAGAAAGGAAAAGAAGAACAACAGCAAATCCAGTGTACAGTGGAGCCGTTTTTGAGCCTGAGGTACTAATTTTTTGCTGGGGGAAGACGGTATTTTCATTCTGAGCTTCTGTGTCTTTCTGCCATGTTGCTACCTCCTAAGCTATCTCAGTCCTAGCTGGACAGGCAAGCTATCATTTGGAATTCAAAAGGCCATTGCAATTATATGACCCTCAGATTTTTAAATAGTAGATACATTGGGATGTTCTTCTAATAATACTTAAGTCTTTTTCTGCCTTCTCCTATGTAAAGCTGGCGTTAAAGGGCAGTGTGTGTTAGTCTTACCATTAGGTCAGCTTGTGTATCAGCCTGAAACAGTCCATATGTCAGAAGCAGTGTAAAAAAGCTAACCATTCTGAAGCTGTGCTTCAGAAAACAGAACAGCCAGTAGTCTCACTTAGTACTACTGTGCTGATCCTCAGCTGTTGCATATAGTTGTTGCCAAAGATGTTGGCTAACAGAAATTGTTATGTTCTGCCCTGCAGCGCAAGAAGAATACCGTCACATACCTGAACAGCACAATGCATCCCGGGACACGTAAAAGAGGTGAGGGATATACTTAGACCTCTTTCCCTGCTGTATGCCTCTTCCTCCATCTTACATTTGCAGTCTCGTGTTGATTTGAAGAGCAAAACAAAGAAGGACTTTACAGTACTTCATTTGTCCAGTAAATTTCCATGGGAGACAAAGATCATGACTTCTAGGGATTAGCGTAGCAGGTTCTATTAGGTGGATCAAGGTTTCATTTCGCTGCTGTCAAGATCCTCTTGTTAATAACTAAAATTGTATTGTTACTGTCAAGAAGAAGGTGGTTATGGAAAAAGTGTCTGTGCCCTGAATAGGAGAGGAAACTTAGCGTGGCAAAAGCCTTGTTCCCCACTGGCAGTAGAGATGAGTCCTTCAAAAGAATTTGTCTTAAGCAAGAAAGGCTAGTGTGGTCATACTGAGCACTTCCCTGCAACCAGTACACCACTTGTCCTAAAATGAGAGATGCTCTTGCATGTAAGTATGCGGTATTAGTCAGTAGAAATCCTTCTGTAGAACAGGTGAAATTTTAAGACTTCAGTTATGGTGAAACAGATGAGTCAGAACAGCATAGGAGAGAATGTGATAGCATTTTTTGTGCATGGCATCAACCACACACGTGTGACAATCTCCCTGATTGATGATTTTCTTCAGTCCTTAAAGACTCATAATACCTTTTCTACTCCTGAGTTTGCTGTCTAAAAAAAAGTAATCGATCAGATTTAAAAAAAACACGGTCTTAGCTAACACTGACCAATTCCATTGTCTTTGTTTTTTTGACTGCAAGGTTAAATATTCGTTTGACATGTGCTCTCCTTGATATACATCTTCAGTCCAGCAGGCAGTGTGGTAAAGCTGACACTTCTGCAGCTGTGCTGTTTCTAAATAAAAGACATCAGTCTCTACTGACATCCTCTAATAACATTAAATGTATTTTTTAAAATTATATGATGTAGATTTTATAGAGGGAGCGTTTTGCATTTACTCTATGGATAAGTAAATGTTCCTACTTCTAGTAATGATTCTTAATTCTATTTTATAACTCATTGTATCAATGAAAATGATTGCATTGCTTTTGTACCTGATACTGTCTTAGCCTGGTTTTGCTCACTGACTGCTATTATACTTTCTTTTTTTTCTCACGCCCTGTTGTGAACCTGTACCTTGCATCAGCACCACATCAGTAGCACCCATTTTCAAGTGACGAAAGATTTGGATGTATACATTGTTTTGTGATTTAGTATAGCGATATATTAGGTACAAAGCTTATGCAAGCATGTGCCCTTGAGAGCTTTAGTTTAATTCTAGATGGTGCTGAGCATGTCAGAAATTTCAGCCATGGACATTACTATCAGAAATATGTTTCCAAGGACATACTCAGTTCTGGAACATACCCAGACCCTAAATGCAAGGTTTAGCATGTTAATGGGTATAGACTGACAATCTGTAAACATAAGATCTGGGAAATTATTCCTAGATCCTAACTTCTTCATGTTTACATACCCATAAATTACCTTGGAGAAGGGAGGCAGAAATGGTGGTTACATACTGGGGTTTTGTTGTCTTGTTTTGCATATGTAATTTTATTAAAATTGTTACAAACACATTTTGCAGTTCTGCTAATCTAAAGGAGTTGTGCATAATCCAGCATAATGGACTGAGAAAGTCTAAGAAAGAATACAGAATTGGGGGGAGGGAGGAGGGGTGTACAGTGGAAGACCAGTGGTAGATTACAACTGATAGTGATGGTGTTATGGGTCAGACAACAGGACCTGCTCTTGAGGTAGCCTAATTCAAAAAATGTACCAGTAGGGTAGAAAGTGCTGATCTGTGGGTGAGCAGCTTTAAAAATAGGGGAAGAAAAGGAGGTGTTTGGTGAGTGTTGGCCTCTGATAAAGGACTTAACCTTTGTGTAGATTTATGCTGGCACTAGAAAGATAGGGAGGTGTGGAATAACAGTAGAAAGGATTTAATAGTAGTTATTGTAGCTTCTCTCTAGCTTTGATGCCAACATGTTTTCCCTAAAAACTGAATAGCCTCATTTCGAAGAGTGGCAAGTGTCCCCACCACTGCTTTTGTGGGAGTGATTCTTTGACCCTCTGCAGAGCTTATTTCTATTTCCTTCTGAAATATCTCTTTTAAATGTTCTTTCCTTGCAAAATTCTACTTAAAGTATTTCTAAAAAATGTTTAAATCTTTGCTTCTGTCTTTCTACTTGTAACTTTTATATTAACTTCCTCTCTGTGCTACATCATTTCCTTTTTCACGCTAGCCAATGAGGACCACTGGCCAAAGGTATGTAAGATCATTTTTCCTTTTTTTTTCCTTTTTTTTTTTTTTTTCTTTTTTTTGTTCCCTGTTGTTAATATGTAGGTCGTCCACCTAAATACAACACGGTGCTGGGGTTCGGGGCTTTGACCCCCACATCCCCACTGTCTGGTTATCCTGACTCCCCCGAAAATGAAAAGACAGAGACCACATTTACATTTCCCGCAGCTGTTCAGCCTGTGTCCCTGCCTAGCCCCAGCTCCACAGACGTAAGTAACTCTTGGGGAGGGGATTGCTTTTAGAAAGATATGCAGAAACAGCCACAAGGAAAATCGTTGCAGATTTCGTTTCTTTAGTCTCACTCATCATTTGTCCTGATTCAGTGCAGTGAAACAGTCCAGCGTTCTTTTAACATCCTTCTTTTTTCCTCCTGCACCTATGTTCTTGTCCTGTGGAGATTTTATTTGTAGCTCCTTCAGTGGACTGAAACACTGGGAGGCACCAGGCATGCTAGATGAGCTCATTTCCTTTGTGCAGTGTCTGAGATCTTGTCTTGACTGAATTGAATCTGTCATCCATGAAAAAGGGGGAAGGGGAGAATGAAAAGTATTACTTACAGACCATAACAACAAAAAGTCGTGGTGTTTCTGTAATGAGAGAAGGAGGGAAACTGCTTGGGTCACACAGAACAGCCAGGAGCAGCGTATGCAGCACTAGTTCGGCAGTTGTGGTGTACTGGTGTAGCTAAATACATCACCCCTGTGTTCAAATCGAAAAATCTGTCTTGAGTGAAATCTGGCCATATTGTTATAATTTATAAAAAACTGAGTGTCCTTATTTTAAGTTAATTCAGAGATAAAATTTGCTACTCAAAGCATAACCTTTTTTAAGTTGCCGAGAACTATCCAGTTACTTCATTGTTTCTATGTCTTGCAAAAACATGATGAAAAAATTAAAGGCCACGCATAAAATATTAGGAGATAAGTAGTGGCTGAGTCGCTGTGTAGGTCCAAAATGACATAATGAAGGGACTGTACACTATGGCTTAACTGAAAGTGTACTGTGACTGTTCGGCATGGGTGAAACAGTTCATTGCACAAAAATTCTCAGGAGTTGTAGGGTACTTCCAGTAAAGTGCTTGCTTTTTAATGACTACTACTTACTGGGCACGGTTTAAAAATAAAAAGGCACTTGCTGATTTCTTCATACCAGTGCTGCAGACTCCTTCTGCAAGCTGAGTCAGAACAGTCTCTTCCACCTCCCTCCTTTTTTTTAAAACATGTTATCACATATGACTGAGGCCCAAGCATTTGAAATGGGCTTTAAGGAGGAGTTGCGCCGCTTTATTTTCATGCACTTGCAGTGCAGTAAGTACATAGACTGAGAGACCAACTCTGCTGGCCACGTACAATAGGGAATAGAAGCCAGCTTCTTGCCGTTGAACTGTATTTGTTCTGCAGAGGTAACAGGAATAGAAATAGTACAAGTGTGTCTGAGTCACTGAAATAAATAGATGCAATTCTGATACCCAGGGAATATGTATGTGAAATTAAAAGGTTCTCTTTTATATAGTCATTTTTGAGAGCAGAATAGTGCTTGACTGTAAAAACCCTTTCCTGGCAATCAAATGAATGGGACTGTGGAACAGCTCCTCAGGGAGAAGGTGGGGCAGCTCCATCTCTGGGGACTTTGCAAAGTAAGCAGTACAAACAACTAGCAAACATGCCGGAGAGCACATTTTTCACATTGTCCCCAAGAGAAGGACTGGATAATGTGATGGGGGTCTTTTCCATTTCTGACTTGTGTGTGTATACTGCCGAGTCTTCTCCTACTGTGTAAGAGCTCTCGAAACAGTATAATGAGTTGCTGCCCTGTTTTCTGCAGTGCCTAGTGGCAGCAAGCTAAATCAAGAATAGTGAATTTCTGTAGCATTCAAATCTGGTTCTGAATGCCCTGAATTTCTGAACTTGGGTAGTATTTAGGCCTATGTTCTGGATTGCTTTTAATATTCATTAATTGATGAAAATAGATGTATTTTAAAGGAGACAATGGAAGATTACACAGCAGGTAATTAACATTCTCTCTTACCTGAGCATATTATAATATAGCACATTAG